TGTTCAAATTTAAGGGCTGTAAATTAGAGAAAAAATTCCACAAATCTCATTGATTTTCCATCGAGGGCTACTCCTGCTCACCAGCTACCTTGCTAGCAGTTGCTAGATGATTTTATAATTGACTAATCTATGCTGCGCCGCTAGCAATGATTTTTGCCAGATTATTTTAGATTTTATTTAGGATTTACCTTTCTCCGTCTTCTATTGGACCAGGTCTTCGCGTCCTGTAACTCTTTAACGTGGATTCAATTTCGAATTGAGGTGTTGATTCCCAAGAAATCACTCTGCATTGAAAGATTTCGGGACTTTCAACGCCTCTACATAATAATTTATTTTGGATTCGATGGATTAAGAATAACTTCAACAGGCAAGAGAGCCTATTTAATTTTACGATTTATTTATAATTCATGTCAAAAGTGACAATTTTCGGGACGGTGTGTACTTGCTATCTCTTACCACTGCCAAGGCTGCCAAGATTCGAACGCTGTTGACTCCTTCGGCTTGCCCTTCAGGATTGAAAATTCTAAACGTCGAAGTTAACGATAACTGCGAGCAGACTGGCATTTATAAGAAACCAGCTTGCGAAACTTTTGTGCAACGAAGTCCCGTTATCGACACGGTCTTCATGAGAAGTGCAACAGATGAGATAGACTATGTGGCACCGTAGCAACTTTGTTCCTCGAGTCTCCCTACATGTCTGTGCAGTGTGCCGGACTTAGCGTGGGTAACGACCTTTTGATCTCATCGAAACGGTTGCGCTTCCATCATTTGAGGAGAGTTGCGGTCCAAACTGCGTTCTGTAATAGCACGGTTCCGTCGTAACCTGACCTTCACTATCCACGATACGCCCCTAAAATTACACTGGAATCGACTTCGAATGAAATCCTAGCACCGACCACAAGGTGAGCGGAAGCAGGTTAAGACGCTGATTTAACTTTGACGATTTGCGTGCACTGCTCGTCTTGCACTGAACGACTGTGTCAGCTCCACTCAGACGGGCAACATATGTAACATTTTAATGGCTTTAAACACCGTTTGCCCAGGGTGCTTGTATCACAACTAAGAACACAAGTGTTCTTCAAAATGCCCACGCGTGTTTACGTTTCTTAATACCACAAGAAACGGTAAATCAAACAACACTAGAAGCGTTCAGAAGTGCAGGAGCCCACACGGCCATGGCAAGAGAGTTTCAAATTGTGAACAAAAAACCGGCAATTCCGATAATTCCCTGGCACAGTGAAGCAATGCCTTTGTATGCGCTTGCGTCGTAACTAGTCTTCGAGCTGATGATTTATGAGGCTGGGACGCAATTATTGCTGAAATCAATTGAATATTTTATTGCCGTGATGCTTGCGCCGTGCAGAGAAGAACACAGCGATTCCTCATTTTTGTTTGGCCAGTTAGTCTCTAAGAAATTTGTGTTATGTGTTGCACTGTTTCCTTACGTTAACAGTTAAATACATATATGTTTATTTATGGCAGTTTCTTCGACGGCCACGCATGTCGGTCGCCGATAATGCACCTCCATTTGAACAATTTTTCGACATTTCTAGGGAAATTTGCATTAAGGTGGGATTTGTTCATACTATGTAATGCTGGTTTTAATTTCGTCTTTTTTATGTCTGAGCAGCATTGATGAGCGAACCCTTCCGCAATAATTATTAAAACAACTGCATCAGCGGATTACACAAACAAAATTGCGGTATATAACGTTTTATTTAGACGGAATGAACATGAAGATGAGCTAAATGTGTCAATAATTCAGTGTTATTAAGAAAGATAAGTGATCACAATGATAAATTTTAATATTTTTGTTTAAATAGCTTTTTACTACATAAAAATCTAACTCATACAACCTGCATTACAATAAGAATGAGAACTCACAACATAATTTTAAATGTTGCCTGATATTATCAAAACGTATTTTTTCCATAAATAAAAAAATATTTTGTTTGTAAAATTATAATTAAACTGTATTGTTCCATATAAATGATAAAATATTTGATCAGATGAGAGAGAGAGAGTAAAGCAAATTCTCTCCTTATTCGTTGAGCTGAGAAAATCAGGAGCACCACAGTATACAGGCATTCAGATTATAACTAACAATGCAGAAACAAAGGAAGAAGTGTAAATTTTCAAATATCTTACTTAATTATTTAACGCTCATTAACCAAAGTACGCATCTCATTAATGCAGGTGTACGTAAACTAATTCAACACGATTCAGAAGTCTTGGTTGGGTCAGAAATCCAGATTCAAGATCAAAAGTGAATAACAAGTATGGCAGGATTACAAAGGATGCATGGTTACAACGCCAGACTGCTGAATTTCTATCGGAATATACAAAGTTTCATCCTATTCTTGGCCATAATTTCCTGAAAACTGTACAACACTTAGAAAAAACTAGTAACTGAGCTTTGAACTTTGCCTTCAAGTTGAGCTTTCGTTTGAGCCACTTGAGTCAACAGCCCTTTGACTTTTGAAACACATCTGTCAATCATCTCTTTTATTGGTTTAAGAATGTGCAGAAATTCAGCGCCATGCTGGTTCAGAACCTATCGAATTAATAATTGATCAAAAAAGGATCACTTTTAATCGGCTTTTAAAAAAACAATGGTAACAAATCAAAGATTTTATGAACTTAATAACTAGATTATAAACCGGCATTAAATTCTCATGTAACTGAAGACAACCCCGCACGGGACTTGACTCGCATTTTAAAGTGCACCGCCAAGCTTCATACAAAGGCGCAGCTGGCACCACATGGGACCTATAAAATTTACTTGGCCCTTGGGTGCAGCTGTGGAACTTTTTCCCTCGTTATGATACCATCTGCGCGGTGTAGAGAAGAACCCTTCCGCATACGATCATAATAGTGGAACTTGTTCACAGTCAGTAATGTATAAATCTTCGAATTACAGAGACTAAGCACCGAAACAAAAAATCTACGGCAGTTTCGAATTAACTTTCGCAATGCGAAAGTGAACCGCTTCAGGTCAATGAGAAAATTGTACCTCAAAATGGCCCAGATGCCCTGATCAGCAATTGCTATTCTAAAGCGGAGCAATGGAAACGATGCATCAGTTCTAGAAAAACGAGCTGCAAATCCACGCTCTAGTTTTCAGCTGGCCGTGAGCTCTTGATCGAAATTGAAAATTGATGGCTGATACTGGAGCTCGAGAGTCGAGGCGCTGGCATATGCTTGTTCTCACACATCTCCATATTGAAATTAGTGAGAATAAGAATCTTGTGATATAATAAAAGTCTAAAATGATCATCGATGGAAATTAGAAATTCTTAATTTCAAATAAAAAACATTTATGTACATCAATTATATGAATTTAAGTCAACACGGCGCTTCTTTCTTAGGATAGCAAGTGAAGTGAGGTCAAAGAAAATATAACCATGGACGGATATCCGATATGGATATCATTAGAGTTATTAATATAAATCTTAAAATCATTTATACTTAGTAAACATTCACACTGTATGTCTGTTCGAATATAAAGATGAAATATGAAACCATCAATTTCTATAGTTGCAACTGCAAACTATATGCAGGGACATATCGCGCCACAATGACGCTAGGGGGCGCACATTTGGAACTTGTCCGCAATTATTGCGGGCCACGGAGCCGGAAAAGGCCAAAAATGATGTTGATGAGCCGCCGGTTTTCATGAGCTTTGGGGGCCATAAAGGGATATTTTAGGGCCAGTTTTGCACACGCCGCGGCCACGTCTGTGACTGCGGTGCACAAGCGCCACATCTACTTGCGCTTGTACCACCTGATTAACGATAGTGATATCCTGCATAATTTTTCTCATAAATAAAGAAAGAAGATAAATAAAGATAGAAGATAAATAAAGAAAGAAGATGATAATTTTCTATTTAGTGTATAACTAAGAAACAAAGACGAATGTAAATTTAATTTCTTATGAATGTATGAGATCATCTTTACACTATTTAAAACTTATCATATAAACAATATACAATGAAGGAAAAATATGCACACTTATAGCATGCATGGCTCTTGACCGCAGTTAATGCCTAGTTACATTACAGGAATGAGAATGACGATTTAAATGCGATTCATTTAATTCAATCTTGAATAACATTTAATTAATTATATTTTACAACCCAGGAGCTCTAACTTTCACGGAGTTAAAACCCAAATCTTCCCCATTCAATAAATTTGTTCCCAATGATCCACTTGTGCTCATTCACTAAGTAAAAACCATTTCACCCTCGCCAAAAATAAACCATTTCACCCTAGTCAAAAATATGGCCTTTTTTGCGTAATTAATTGACATGTCATAATAATAATATAATTAATTTTCTCTTACAGAAGCCGAAGAGTGACTTCAAAGATTCAACATTATTTGATTAGTGAAGACTTCGCTCATTCAATATTCCATCCCGCATATTTTATGTTTGCCTTATAGCGGAGTTCAAGATTTGCCAATAATCTTTACTGTTCAGTCGAGAATAGAAACTTGTTATAGACAAAATATTTTTAAACCCTCATCCAATGATAGAAATTTTATTTACTATGAATACTTTATCTAGTTTCAGTCAGTTAATCAGTTGAATAATCAGTTAATTACCATAGAATGTTCGCGAGATATACTGCCTCTTTTTTCTCTACTTTTTTTATGTAATTTAAAGTGTTAACGAATCATCTCTTGCATGAAACTAATAACGGCATGAGGCAAAATAAAAACGCTCCTTTGACGAGCTTACAGTTTAGTTACTTATTATTGCGTAGTAAATTCCTGGTTACTTTTCCGCCATTCTCATGTAGCGATCATCGAAGAGCTTGCAGTGGTGGGGAAAATTAGGAAGAATTTAGACCCCAAGAGAGCAGCCGAGGCACTCACTAGAACCTCAAGAGAGCTGCCGAGGCACTCACTAGAACCTCAAGAGAGCTGCCGAGGCACTCACTAGAACCCCAAGAGAGCGGCCGAGGCACTCACTAGAACCACAAGAGAGCGGCCGAGGCACTCACCAGATCCACCAGAGAGGCAAAATGAACATCATGGCGAGTTCTGTAGGCAAAAAAAAAACTATTAATAATTTCTAATGTGTATATATAATATAGTATAAATTTTCTACTCGAATTACCACTGTACAATTTGTATTAGCGATGCAATAATTATAGAAGTCAAATTTAGGTAATAAGTTGCAGTGATTCAGAATTCATTCTCATATATAGCAGTGTAATTTTGCGTAAATGATGAGACACGGCGCAATAAATTACATGCAACCAAATCCTGATACCTTGAAGCGTGAGGGTCACAACGTTCATGCAAAATTAGAGCAATAAATCGACATTAATGTTAAACGATTTACTGACGGGAGTTAAACGACTAATTGTTCAAGAATTGACTAAGCGGTGCAGTATTGAAAAGGACGTGGATACGCCTAATAGAAAATTTAAAATTTCGAAATTTTTTGGAAATTACCGAAAATGTTATTGGCCAGATTGATTAGACTTTGAGAGATAATTTTTTGCAAAATTTGTTGAAACAACATGTGCTAATTAGGAGCATTGCATTAAATTCAGCTGCAGTCCCGTGTAAATTCTTTAAAATCGAACTTTGCCTATGCATTTCCCACCAGTAAATTGTGTCAATGTCAGCTAAAAATGCAACTTGGTGGAACAGTTTAAGGGAAAAGGCGGTTACTCTCAAGTGGTAGATTTGAGCAAAACGGCGGCTAAAAAATGATCGTGTGGCCAGCAGCTAATGTTTCATATATAAAAGTCCATTAGCTTCGAACAGTTACATCGGCTTCGGCTGCATTAAGCCGTCATTAAATGTTAGAGCCTGCATCAGTTTCATCAGTTTCGGAGGCACACAATGAGACGCCTCGGGTGGACTCTACAAATCTCTTCATCCGCACTTTATGACACCGAAAATTGATCCGTGTATTAGATCGTTATTAGGACCATGAGAGGTTATGAGTCGGCCTTCCTCGCGCCCTACTGCGCCAATAAAAGAAATGGCCGACTTATGCTCGTGCCAAAGTCTCTGAACTTTGCTATTTTCTCTCAATGTAAGTAGGCCAGGAGGCCGTTCTTGGCCAGATACGCGTCGTAATTGTAGCGAAAGTTTGCATTCTCAGCGGAATTTATACACGCAGCAAATGCGTTACTGGTGTCTGAATAAACATATTCAGTACGTGAAGAGGTCGATCAAAAAATATAAATATGTCGAAAATGTCGAAAAATATTTGGGTCGAAAAATAATATTATTAATATGTGTAGAAGTGTTGGATTTGACAATAGTTGTTATGGTGTAGAATGTACGGTGAGCTGCAATCTAGAGCAGCAATATGGAGGACTTCGTTCGAATTGTCCATCCGTTTTTAAATGAATGCGTCATTTTATACGTCACTGGACTTCTCTCAACTCTGAAAAATATGCATAAATTATAAATTTAACTTGGCTTGTATTTCCGCGTGTTAGAGGCGTTAGGTGCAACAAAGAGCGAAATAAATGTTAAAGCCATCACGCTTCAAATACACGTATATCCTGTTGTCCCTCATAAATGTTATAACGTTTAATACTAGCATAAACCTGATCGGTTTGGTTGCTAGCAGCAAGCTTTAGGCTCATGGTTATCGTACAAAAAACCAAGAATAGATTATTTTCCACTTTAAATCATTATTGATTTCTCGCAATTTTTTCCACGACGAATAGGTAGATGATTTTTTAGCAAAAGTTAAAAAAATTCAATTTCAGAGTTCAAAATTTCAATTATTGACTACACAAATCATTGACAAGGATAAACATATAAGAATAATATTTCTTCGTATACAACACCGCAATATCCTAATGTGACGCTGAGACTGCACGACAGCCGGCACATGAAGCAGCATGTTATTAATTCCCCAGATGCTTGCGGGCGACTGACGTTTCTTTCGACCAAGAACGCACGCGGCCAGACTTCCCCCCGGCTCGACGTAAGGCGTAATGTATTACTACTTGCAAAAATTTAGTAAAATATTTCTTATTGTAAACTGCATAGACCACGTGATATCGTTGATGAGGACAATGACAGACTAGTTTTGGGGATTTTTCTTCTTTCTCTAGAACAGAAGAGCGAATTTCAGGATATTGCCATGTCGAAAGGGACCGGGTAGCCAAAACACGATGCTAAGACAGCAAAAATACATTCGATTATGCTTACAAAATGGACAAAAAATCAAATCACGCTCGATGTACCTCAAACTTAAGAAACATCTTCCTACATGAGTTCAAATAAAGTAAGATAATAAAGAAAAAGCCCACTTTCCGCACCATATATAGGAATATACCTCCAACATAAATTGATCCCCGATAGACTCACCATATATACCTGAGTGGAAGCTAGCCGCCGCTCCGGCCGTTCTGCCGTCCATGCCCGCGGCGAAATAGTGCTGCGGTCTCGTGCTCAGAATTACTTCACTGGACTCTTGGTAATTGACTTCAGGTATCCTGGATACGCAGCGCACTCTGGTCTCTGCAGGAGCGCCACTTGGCGACGTTAAGTGGAAATGGCGCAGCACGAAGCGCAGTCGTAAGCTGGCCACTTGCAGCCCATCCAGCGCGCTCTGCTGCACCAGCTGAGGGTCCAGGTGGCTCGGCTAGTGGAGTGCATTAATTGGTATGCTATTAATTCATGAATTAATGGCACGAATATTGACTGTTTTCATGCGGTGACGGAGAATGATTATTGAGGATAATTTGCAGTTACGCTATCGCAGTGAAAATTATTACTGTGTGATTATTAATGTCGTTAATTAATGTGCCTAACGAGATTAATGAATTTGAAAGATATTGACTGCGTATATGGTTAATTCGAATAATCATTAAACAATATCACTGAGGGTGCCATAAAATAAATGAGCAATAATGTGAAAATAACGCTATTTTATAATAATTGGCTGCGTTTGAATCTTGGACTGAGAAAGCTGCTCGAGCATGTTTATTTACATTACTGTAATCTCAGGTTATTATTAACCTGCTTATACCTAGTTAGCTTACATAGATTAGTGTGCTAGGTAATCTTGACTATCATTATTCTGGACATTTGAGAGAGAATAATTGGGATGAATCTTTAATTCGCTATTATTCATTGACTCAGTATTCATTCATACTGAGTCATTGAATTGCACAATTCGTAGTTAGAAGCCATGGCTAAAATTTTATTGTCCCGATAAAAAATACTCGGAAAGTTTTTTCAGCATTTTTTGGTGATCAACTGATGAAAATTTTCAAATAAATTTCAAGTCGATCCATCTATTAAACGATCCATTCCGGGTAATAGTACTGAACAAAGCGAATTGTACAAATTTCATAGTTTTTTCAATTTCATAGTTTGTCAGTTGTACACGTTATTGACGCAATTGATAACGCAAGACTGTCTATGGTCAATGCTGATAAATAATTCCGGCATAATTGTTCACTGTATGCTACTGATTAACTATCTCTCCTCTTGATCACTGTACGCTACTGATAAATGATTGTCTGTAATCATTGTATGCTACTGATAAATGATCACTTGCTTCATTAAGCAATGGATGCCACTGATAAATGATCTTTTATAGGCACTGTGTTCCACTGATAAATGATCGTCCTTAATCAATGTATGCTTCTGATAAATGACTACTTGCACGATTAATGTCTGAATACTAATAAATTGCTACCTCCTTGATTAATCACTGTATGCTGCTGATAATTTGCTGCTTGCAGGGTTAATCACTGCTTGCACTGCTTGCTACACTGCTTGCTACTGGCTTGCTACTGACTACTTGACTGATTAATATCTGCATTCCGCTGATAAATTCATACTTGCATGCTTGATGACGGTATACTCCTGATATATTAATACTTTCTTCAATAATCACTGTATTTTACAGCTATATGATCGCCCCACCATCTCCCCGTTGATGTAGACCTCAAGCTGTGGCACGGGTCTAGCAGGGCCTGAGCTGCAGACCAGGTCTACCCAGTCCCCTTCTCGGTACTGTGGCTGCAGACCCTCGAACTGCGGGATGCTCTTCGGCAGCGCTGCAACCCCGGCGGGGAAATGATGTCATCAATAACTAGTTCTTCACATCGTATGTTTTTCATGTTTTACCCTTGTCAGACTGCATAATTTTACAACGTTATTATGGTATTAGGCGTGTAATGTAATATCATCGTATTAGGCGTGTAAATTAAATTGTTAGGCGTGTAAAGCAATTTCAGATTCGAGGACTTTTTTTTTAATTTGAGCAATTTCCTTGTTTAAGGTTTAAACTCACTGACGACTTTCAACTCCTTCTCTCCGTAAACTGTTCTGAACGCCGGAGCTTCGGCGGAGACCTCGCAGCGGAAGAGACCCGCAGCTTCGTGCCGCACGTTCGTGAGACGTACGGTGCCTTGTGTCGACATCAGCGGCTAAAACAAGTGCGTTATCAAATTATCCAAGTTATTTTATAATTTGAAAATTGCATGAGAGGCTGAAACTAAGAAGTTGCATCAATACATAAATGTTTGAATTAATGATGTTCAATGTAATATCTGTGACAGGCGGATGGATAAAAGAGTACGAGTATTAGAGTAGGTTAAAGGTTTAAATTATACAATGTTAGTCGTTCTTAACATGACCGTTTGCTATCTTAGACACAGAAAAATGGAACACCATATAGCAATATAGGCTTATAATGTTTTATTTATAATTCCGTAACCAGAGATTCACTTAAGAAAAATGTTCGCTGATGTTAGACTGCCCAGTGGACTTCACCGACATCCGCCGCAGTTAACATCTTCCTTCCGACAATTGAAGATCTATTATGCATGCCCGGAAATTGCAAGCGTTTTTACTCCCACAAAATTATTCAAATAATTCTATGTTTCTGTAAACAAATTCACATAAATTTAAGTACATTGCATTCCATCTCGGATAATGATTTTCTAAATATTTTCTAGATTATTCATTCCGTTTTTTCACTTATCCTTCATTTATCGTCATTAATTTCACTGTAAAAATAACCAAGCATAGCTAAGCAATAGATCTTTGGCAGTGATGCGGCATGTTCATTTTTGATGCAACAGAAGATAAATTTCAGTGATTGCCAATTGATTATAATAAAAGTAATTTTCATGATTTCTATTATTCTCACAAACAAATAATAACTCAGCAGTTTGCTAGGACACTCCCCTATATTTTAATCCTCCACGTAAATTATAACAAAAGGGGACTCGCTCAGGAACAATTTTTGTGTTCCAAAGCTTATCTTGGAGCGAGGCAAGTCACGTTCGTTTATATGAAGCTCCAGAGATCCATTGGAGCGCGCAGCGGCATACCTCCTGCAGTATTCGTACGCTCTCCTAATAACGGCTCGGCAAAACGTTTCAACAGAATGTGCTAAAGGGATGCAACGAACGAGCAACCGGAGTTTTGTGCGATGGAAGAAGTGAACAAAGTTTAATTGAGTACTGCAACCGGAAGATCTTTATAGCGAATGAAAGCGTTGCGGAATTCAAGGTTATAGTGTTCTGAATCTATAAACTTTTTGCGGTTCTTTTAGAAAAAATATGGCTGAATAAATAAACTTGGAAGATATAGAAGTGATATTTCAATGAATGACTGAAACCCTTGGAGAAACGCGAGTTAAAAAAAACACACTTTACTTAATTCAAACTTAATTCAGATAATCAAAGCAACTACATTCTTTGTATCTTAAATTCGCTTTTAGAGCATATAATTGTTTTGAACAAATGACGCAAAAAATAATGAGCACACAAAGAAAAAATATATTGGTTAATCTACTTTGGAACTCCACTCAGAGCGAATTAATTTGTTTTAACAGTATTTTCCTAATCAAATTACTATGTATAAGTGATTATATCTAAGCACTATTGTGGCTATATATTTTATTTTATTCGATTCATTGATCACTATTTAATTATACGAATATACGTGGTCAGAAGCTCGATATCCTCATCGACGTTATTCTATTTATGAGAAGTTAAACAAGCTCGCCAGTATTTTAAATGGAACCAACACATACGCGAGAAAAACATCTACAAATTGTTGATTGAAAGTTGTATGATGTAAGTTCTATTTGAGGGATTCTCATGTATATTAATTGAAAAATTTATAAAGTATAGTTCTATTTGAGCGATTTTCGCGCATATTAATGCACTTTAAAAAACCGGCCGCAACTGGATAAGAAATACCGCTTTTTGCGAAATTTCGAGAAATCTTTCGAAATTTCAAGCATCCAGGTAGTATTTTCAAAAATACCTGTTCTTGCATAAGGAAATTCAAAAAATTGAAAAGATTTATAACGTTTCATCAAACAACATAACTAGAAATATTCTTAATTGAAAATAAAAACGCAAGAAATATGAGCCAGCAACAGACTATTGCGGATAATGCTTTCAAGTCTCTCTTAAAATTTTCAAAATTATATTTCACACGGGTTCTAACAAATATTCATACCATAAATTTAGTGAAAATGTATTTGATCGTTTTGCGGGAAACATTAGATATTTTATAGGTTTCGGCTGCAACTTAAGAAAGAGGTTAGTAGGACAAAGCCATTTCTTGAAAGCAGCTTCTGCATGCAACATAACATACCGAAAAAAACCTATTTCACAGGTATACAAATAATTATGCAAGGTTAATTGATAAATATATGTACTCTCAAATGAAAGTTGAGACGCTCTACAAAATATGCATGTTTGAAAATATTCTCGCATTTTGTGTTAGTAGTACTAACTAAATCGAGTTAGAAACTCGATTTGAAAATGTAAACATCCAAATTACTTTAGTAATTTATTACAAAAGTTAATCAGACTTACACTTTATGGACGCTCGATATGCTCGAAGTAAAAATTCGGCTTTCTAAAGCAAGTCCACGTATAAAACGTCAAGTTTCCGCAAGAGAGCGGACACGTGTTTAATATGTACTGTACAATGCTGTACTAATTCCCTACAGGCGAGGAGCTGGTCGTGATCACTATTACCCTAACAAAATTCGGGGACCGCCTATAGGCTTCGCCGAGTAGTCGCTACACTCGGCGTAAAATTGTACTGGGTCTGCTTGGCCACCCGATCGAAATCTGCTTTTGGTCAGAATTGCCTCGATTTACCGGTTTGTCGATTTTAGGGTAGTCTGGGATTACCGTCGAAGGTGTTAGTGTTTTAATCAAGATTCGCATCGACGCCTCATTCTCGCCTCATTCAAATTCAAATTCGACGCCTCATTCTCGCCTCATTCGACGTCTCAAAAGCCTCATTCTCGTATATATATGGATTTTAGAAGTGCATGTTCTAACTGGAATAAATGAAGCTAACCAAAATTTCCTAATTTCTATAAAGCGAAAACCGAACTCTTACATTAACGGTGAGATGTGGGTTCTTGAAGATTTGCTTGGGATCTTCTTTACTGGGCGTCCAGCGGTAGATCTCATTGAGCCCTTGGTACCACCGCAGCGCCCAGATCTGCCGATGTTCCGGCGTCCACGAGCACCTCAAGTCAGCGGAGGAGCCCGCCTCCACCCACTCCGGCACCTTCACCTCCGTTATGTTCAAGGCGACGCCTGCGGGAAAGGTACATGCAGCTCCATGCGAATAATCTTTCAACCACATTTGAAACAAAAATTTTAATTTAAATTCTACTTTTTAACGTTTAATAGTCGTCAAGTCGACATGACATGCCCGGTGAGCTTGGTACAAAGGGGTTTGCCCTACTACCAGGACGGTGCTTATAGTTCAGAAATGTACACTAGCTTCGAGGAGAGTCGTAGGCAAGATTTTGCAAAGTTATGGAAATAATTTGGTTTTTGGGCATGGTAATGAGAACATGAGCTGCCTAGGTTGGAAACGCTGTGGTAAAATTTAGCTCTCTAAATAGGTTGACGACGCTTTAGGAAAAATTGGCTTCCTAAGTTGACTAAGCATATTAGAAATTTATTCACTATTGGACAGGTTTTGCGTAGAGGGCAGCTCTGTTGAAGGTCAAATCGGTGATGTGAAATTATTTCCGTAATAATAGCCTTAGTAAAGCAAGCCAATAGTAGGTCAGCTTAGCTTTTGGGCAAATTAATTATATTCGGTTGTGCTGGCATTAAAATCAGGTAAGTTAGTGATATAAGCTCGATAACATATGAAGCATTTGACTTAAGAATTTGACAAATATTCATAAATTCTCGGACTAGTTACCTGGAAATATTCACACTAGCTTAGTTTATGCGTTTCAGCCTTCAAATATAATTTCTCGCAATTTTTTTGTTAAATATATTTTGCTGTTATACAAACTGGCTTATACGGATTTTCAACTCAAGGTGAGTGAAAGAATTCAAGATTAAGCTGCTAATGAAAATGTTCTAAATTCAGAAATCGGTGCAGAAAAATTACATTAAATAATTTTTCCCATTCAAACCATCATAAGATGGACATAATCCACGAAAAGAGTTTTGTAAGGACTCCACATTAATGAAGGTCCATTGCTTCTCGCTGTTCTGCGCCACAATAATTTTAAAATTATAAGTTTTGAAAATGGCCACTTCACTGCCTTAGAAAACTCTCGCAATTTTCAGAAAAAATGAACGTATTAATTAGATTAGCATTATTTATATATAGGTGAACGATAACTTTTAGAACAAATTATCTAACCGCAAAGTGCCTTATTTATTCGCCAAAATGTGTTGCTATAGTTAAATATTGGCAGGCCAATATCAGATGGATAATGATCTAATTTCGCAATCATGAACAAGCTGCCCTGAAAAAGCTGTAATTCCCTTTTAAACGTCTGTATTGTTTTGCATCAATATGACAAACTTCTACATTCAAATCATCATCGGATAAGGGAAGTGGAATCGAACTCTATAAAATGTCATATAAAAAGCTTTTAATTGGGTCAGAAATGGAAGAGGATTAATTGTGATTTGGGAGTGCTTTTTGTTTAGCTAACGAGGGGCTTACGATATCATAAGCCTCTGAGTAATTAGAATGATTTTTCCGTCGGTCTGGGTAAAATATGCCGAAAAAAGCATAACTACTGATTCTTATTGTTTGACCCTACAACAAACAATTTTAAAATGGGCAAATATTAAACTCTAATTTGTACTGCAATGTTGAGGCTCTGTTAAAGCGCTTGCATGGGTATTACCACTCATTGAAAATTAAGGCATTTGATAACCTTGTTCCGCTTTTACTTCATATGCACCTAGTTTTCAATTTATTGATCACCGTATCATGTGTAAACTAGTTGTTTAATCAGTTTTTTAACAAGCGAGCAAAAACTAGATCTATCAGAAGCTCGCTTCGACATGGTCAGAGGGACAGCAATTCAAAGTATTCACCAAAATACCATTGATGCCAAACACACTTTGATTATTGATCGGAGATTATACGCTGCGCTAAGCACTGATACTCTTGTATGCCTCTACTAACATTCAAATCCCGTTGGAAAATGCGTCTAAAAATCAATCCACGATCTTCTGCCGTGCTGCGGTGGTATTCGATAACAAAATGGTTGTAGCAGCGCCTGGTTATGCCGGCGGCACGCTGAAGTAAAGCGAAAGTCATCTAAAATTTTCCCGACTTGTTTCATGTTACTTTCAATTGTTCTCTTTTAAATTTAATCATATTACAACTCTATTTCACAAACGACTATGACACAGCATATTCGGCCAATATTCAGTGGTTTCGAATGACTTCAACCAGTATATGAAGTTTTTACATATTCTTCTCTAAAAAATACATTACTAAGAAAATCTCGCCATTTCTATAACGGATTTTTTTAATGGAATGATAAAACAGATATCTTTAGCAGAGAACCTAAATGTATTTTCGGGTGGTCAAAATGTCTTTTATTCAGACTGCATGACTGATGCAATCACTATCATCATGTCAAAAGTTCCGACGCGAATGATGCGCAAGCCCTAAAGTGAAGTTAACATTTCACGAACATTGCTCAACTTATCAAATGTTACTCACACTGCGACGAGCTAATGGATCAGAGGTAACAATTTTTAAGTTGTACCTGCGCAGTGAAAGTAAACATCAAATAAAAAAGGTTATGCAATTTTGAAAATTCGAAACGTTTAGAAACAGGAGAATAACAGCCTCTTGAATACCAAATAGTCAAATCAGAGCTTTGAGTTTAACCTGAATAGCGAGCTAGAATTATATGAATTGTAATTATTATAGTAATTCCGTAAAATAAAAGTCAACATGAACAGCATTAATCTAGCCAGCCTTGATCGTCGGACGACAATGGCCGCTGAACGCTCCAACGTAACCGAATATTCACGTAATTAGCTGAGATGTGAAGGAGCATCAATGAGCTTTTAGTTATCTAGTGCGTGAGAGCGCAATTTGTGGGTGGGATGAAGATCACTGATGTTCTGATGAGCGAACGAAGACGTCATTACCAGATATGACTGATGAGAGAACGAAGACGTCTTTACCAGATATGATTGTTGAGAGAACGAAGATGTCATTACCAGATATGACTGATGAGAGAACGAAGATGTCATTACCAGATATGACTGATGAGAGAACGAAGATGTCATTACCTTATATGATTGTTGAGAGAACGAAATTTATGCCCAACTACCTTTCATACAATATAGCCCAATTCCGTTCTCAGATACCAATTTGTGGCCGCATTCAGACTGCAACATAAATTTCGGGCAATGTACAATTTAAATTCATATTAATTGTTCAACCCTATACTTTATACCATCTGCATTATATTCTCTACATTCCACCCTTAATATTATACTCACTACATTCCACCCTTAATATTATACCCTCTATATTACACCCTCATGCAATAAGAGTCTGAGTCAGCAGCATCACCGTTTGGTATAACCGTTCACCAGCTTAAATTATACAATGATTATTGTCTTAACAGAAATACCATCTAAGGTTATCTCCTCATCATAGCTCGGTACAATGCAGAAATACCAGGAACGCCTCAAGAAAGACGATGGTCATGTCTGTTGGAAAGCGTCCCATCGTTTCGAATTAAGTCGAGACGTTTGGACGAAGACAATTGCTACTCTAACGGGTATTTGATGCAAATAGAGTGCGCACCCGCATTGAGATCGCCTGAAGCACACAATGCACTTATTTCCTATTGCTTTGTTGATACGCCCTGGCCGTAGGGCTCTACTCGATCAAACCTTCGGTGTCCGGCGCAGCGTACGGCGAGTGCGAGATAAAAAAAACTCTAGCGGCTAAGAAAAACTTTAGCCTTAATTCGCTATGAAGATGTAGGTTTTTATTAATTACACATTTGATTACATTATTGATTACATGCACATGCCTTAATGTTATTTTTTTAAAGTTCCTGGCGGTCTGATTTAACTGGAAGATATTAAATTAATGTTATATTCATTGATATGAATGTACGTAAAACCATGTGCAGATTGATATGAAAACATTTTTTAAAATAATGCACCGTTAAATAGTTATCTAAAATTGTTCGTATGCCCATCAAACAATTTGTTGTCCAGCCGTGATAGATACTCTTCCATTTCAATTTTCTTGTTACTGAACTTAATACAGTAAATTTTTACCTTAGCAATGATGATGACCTCAAGACTGCGTGAACGAATTTTTCAGAAACTAGAAATGATTACTTGTTATTTAATTATTACTTTATTATTACTATTTATTATTATTATTTAATTATTACTTTAATTACTTTTTTTAAAGATTGAGACTTAATTTAGGATTTTAAAAAGTGCCATGGATTGAATTCATTTTGTGATATTGTAATTATCACCGGCATCGTTGATTCTTAACTAAGCTTAGTTTATTTCAAAGACTGCATTAAGCGTTTGCATCGTTTCCTTTAGAACAAAAAAAAAACACATTTAAAGGCTATATTAATTGAACTTGTTTCTCAGCAAGGATTGAATATAGTTTCTCCGCAACTGTTTCTCCGCACTCCACCTCTTAGTCTTTCACCATCACGGCAGGCACGCTTGAAAGACATAGAGTATATAACTATTACTTCTCCATAGTTATTATATCGTAATGACTGTACCTAGTAGCCATTTTCGTTGCAAAAAATCGTTTTCTAAAGACCTTACGTCATAATCCTTTTCTTCACAAATAAAATTTGTAAAGAATGTACGTCGTAATCCATTTCTCATAAAGAAAATTTTGAAAATGCTATTCCTAATAATCATTTTTCATGCAAAAATCATTCTGTAGAAACCGTGCCTAGTAATCTTTGCCAAGGAATTGTCACTGTGTAAAGACTCGTAATCATCGTAATCATTTTAACTCCCAATGATCATTTTTTGAAGACATTACCTATTAATACCACACATTCCTACTTTTTTATAAAGAATGAACGTAAAACTCCTTTTCCTTTGCAATAATCATTTTTATGACGTCCGTGATTCAAACCTTTTCCCTCGTAATGATAATTTCTAAAGACTCTACCCTCTAATCATCATACTCTGCAACGAACACGTTTTAAAAACTGCAACTTCTATTCGTTTTTTCCTGCTATGAAATTTTATTGTGAAATAATATAAAATATTTTCTCTTTAAATGATTTTATCCCAATAATACACTAAAAATCCCTCTTCTCGTTTCACTTATTGTTAATGGAAATCTAATGGACTTAATGTATGAGTCACTGGTGCATTAAGCAAATTCTTCGTTCTTATTTAGATTTCTCGTATCAGCCATTAAGTAATTTCCCCGCAAAAACTTTGAAGGTATTTCGAAAATCTTTCGTTTTTTGTAACAGAATATTTGATGAATTTGAAACTAAATTCCGATTTGAAAATATTTATATTTATTCACTCCTCAAATTTTATATGTTAGATTGATTGATACTTCATACGTACGCAAATTATTAAGCACAACAATAAAACTAATTACTATTATTTCCTATGAAACAAAAATTTATAGGAAAATATTTATTAAATTCCTAAATGTATATCGTCATTCATTTCAGCTGTAACGTACCAGTAATTTCATCAAAACCAATGTTCATAATACAGGGGTTGGACAAAATAAGGGGAACACCTGACATTTTGACATCGTAATTTTTGAACATGTTATAAACAATGACAGCGTGACATATTTCTATGTTTATTGTTGCGGCTAATTGCGGCTGATTTATCTTTGAACAGAATTTTCTAAGAAATTTTTGTGTCTATAACCTAAACTATAACCCATAAATGGCAAACCTCCCTAACTTTCAAAGAGGCTACATTGTTGGTGCCCGTATAGCAGGTGCTAGTGTGACACAAACTTCCCGAATGCTTGACGTTTCTCGAGGTAAATGTTGTTACTGTCACAAAAGTAATGACTGCTTTTGAAAGCGAAGGAAAAACGTCCTCATCAAAGCACAGGTCTGGTCGAAAGTTGAAGTTGTCTGGGAGAGACCGTCGGTATATAAATCGAATTGCGAGTTGCGATCGAAAGACCAAGGCTGTTAAAATTACTGCAGACGTCAACATGAACACCTACAGAACCCAGTTTCCATTAAGACTGTCCGCCGAGAGCTGCACAGATCTGGATTCTATGGAAGAGCTGAAATTAGAAAACCTCTGGTTTCAAATTAAAATGCTTCAAAGCGTTTAGAGTGTTTAGAGTGGTGTAAATTGGCCCCTCGAGCAATGGAATAATGTTATGAAGAATCATAGTTTACCTTATTTCAATCTATAACGTAGATATGTAGCGGTCTCGTTCAGGATTTTGAATTGATGTACTAAAATATTTACAAATTTAGAATTAGATTTAAATTGTAAAAATAAGATTTTGTTCATATATGAACGTCACCTCGATGAATACAACAGCAGGATTAAACTTAATTCCAACTTTTAGTATTTAGATTTATTTCACCGGAACCTTTTATTAGAGTAAGAACCAAGTGTTGCCACTGTAATCGCATAGTAATTACTCTGTTAAATAGATGAACTGATTTATAATGATTATAATTTTTTCTATGTACTTGTATTTGTGTAACTTGAGATTATCTTTTATTCATACAGGGTTCTATACAGAGACCAAAAAAGGGTCTTTATTTGTCCCGAAATCAACGTGAGACGCTTTAGATATAAGAATTAATTTAGATAATTTGTGTTCAATATGCGAGCAAGGAAATGATATCGTAAAAGTGTACAAGCACTCTTCCTGGTTTCTTCGTATAAACTCCACAACTGCGTCTTTTAATAATTACTAGTTAAACGATGGCATATTCACTCCTGGCTTCGTCATGAACTGTTTTTTTTGCCAAAATTTCATTCATATGAAACAAATTTATTTATTTATTTTGCATAGACAATTTTAAAATATTCCACTAACGACCCTAAATGAATATATTTAATTAACGCAACAATAGTTATATAGTCTCTCGTCGCATAACTTTGTTCTCTAGGACGGCATTACTAGGAAAGAGTCACATCCCAAAAAACAATATCTAGTATGAAAATAAGGACTTATTTAGCAGGTCTTCTATGAATTTAGGTTCTAAAATAAATTAGGAAATAAGAGTGTTCATATGGGTTCAAACAGTGGGAATAAAACAGTTATTTCTTGCGACAAAATATAATTTATTATTTAATTAAATGATCTTTAATTTTATTTATTGCATAATTTTCCTTGCATAATTGATACGCAATCATTAGCAAGGAAATATTTGACAATTTAAAAAAAACTGGATGAACATCTGAGCAAAAATTGTTGTTTTTCTACATTTTATTTGAAAATTTATTTATTTATTTTGATGATAAGCCAAAAAACTCACCTGTGTGGATGTTGAACACCACAGCGAACATCATCGACCAGTTTATTCGTGTAGATTTCATTGTTGAATTTGCACACAATTTATGAACTCCAGTACACGGATCAGGGTCACCTCTGAACAAGCTTTAATGGTTATTTATTTCCTTCATTTTGAATTCATTACTTGGTGATTATGTAAGCCATTTAAATTTACATTATCTAAATCAAATAAATTGAGAAAGTTATCATTAGACTGATTAAATAATCTGCAGTGACCTGAAACTGAAATATTTGTTGATATTAAATAATATTAAAAATCAAGGCATAGTTTGAAATATTTGCTTATGGAAAGCGACAAAAAAGCCTCATTCTCGTATATATATGGATTTTAGAAGTGCATGTTCTAACTGGAATAAATGAAGCTAACCAAAATTTCCTAATTTCTATAAAGCGAAAACCGAACTCTTACATTAACGGTGAGATGTGGGTTCTTGAAGATTTGCTTGGGATCTTCTTTACTGGGCGTCCAGCGGTAGATCTCATTGAGCCCTTGGTACCACCGCAGCGCCCAGATCTGCCGATGTTCCGGCGTCCACGAGCACCTCAAGTCAGCGGAGGAGCCCGCCTCCACCCACTCCGGCACCTTCACCTCCGTTATGTTTAAGGCGACGCCTGCGGGAGAGGTATAGCTCCATGCGAATAATCTTTCAACCACATTTGAAACAAAAATTTTAATTTAAATTCTACTTTTTAACGTTTAATAGTCGTCAAGTCGACATGACATGCCCGGTGAGCTTGGTACAAAGGGGTTTGCCCTACTACCAGGACGGTGCTTATAGTTCAGAAATGTACACTAGCTTCGAGGAGAGTCGTAGGCAAGATTTTGCAAAGTTATGGAAATAATTTGGTTTTTGGGCATGGTAATGAGAACATGAGCTGCCTAGGTTGGAAACGCTGTGGTAAAATTTAGCTCTCTAAATAGGTTGACGACGCTTTAGGAAAAATTGGCTTCCTAAGTTGACTAAGCATATTAGAAATTTATTCACTATTGGACAGGTTTTGCGTAGAGGGCAGCTCTGTTGAAGGTCAAATCGGTGATGTGAAATTATTTCCGTAATAATAGCCTTAGTAAAGCAAGCCAATAGTAGGTCAGCTTAGCTTTTGGGCAAATTAATTATATTCGGTTGTGCTGGCATTAAAATCAGGTAAGTTAGTGATATAAGCTCGATAACATATGAAGCATTTGACTTAAGAATTTGACAAATATTCATAAATTCTCGGACTAGTTACCTGGAAATATTCACACTAGCTTAGTTTATGCGTTTCAGCCTTCAAATATAATTTCTCGCAATTTTTTTGTTAAATATATTTTGCTGTTATACAAACTGGCTTATACGGATTTTCAACTCAAGGTGAGTGAAAGAATTCAAGATTAAGCTGCTAATGACAATGTTCTAAATTCAGAAAGTGGTGCGAAAAAAATTACAATAATTAATTTTACCCGTTCAAACCATCATAAGATGGACATAATCCACGAAAAGAGTTTTGTAAGGACTCCACATTAATGAAGGTCCATTGCTTCTCGCTGTTCTGCGCCACGCGGCGACTTTCAGTCTTGAAAACTGGCGCGATTTACGACCACGATAAACTCCTCCAACTTTGCTCTTCAGTGAGACACCCGCCGCGGAAATGAGCAGCGATTGAGAAAATTTAACGAGAGACAGATTTTCCTCGCTAACTCTTTATGACCTGCGAGATGGCCGAGCTGACGAACAGGGCGGCCATGGCACGCGTAACGAACTTGGCCTGCGCTGCATTCTTAAAAAATTACGAGGAGGACCACGTTAGTTCAACGTTGGTCGTAAACTTAGACTTTGGCTCTTCGATTTTGACGCTGTAAGTTTGAAGTCAGAAGCGTGTATGGATTAGCCTTTCTTTTGGAAGGTCATCATTAGGCTATCCGCTCCTACGTAGAACGCAATAATGTCTTCCGATATCAAATTTATTTTCCGTGACAACAAATTCAAGCCAAGGCCAGACCGTTTCAGAAAATATACTTATCATAAAATTAAATGAACTGTGATGTCCTTAACTCTATAGTCTATACGAAATCGATTGAAATTTTGCTCAAATTGGGGCTTATAAATGATGTAAACTTATTATATTTCCTTTGCGATAATTTTAAATTTTATGTTTATAACAATGACCACTTCACTGCCTTAGAAAAATCACGCAAATTTTCAGAAAAAATGACCTAATTAATTAATATAGCATTATTTCTATTTTTGTATACGAAACTTTCAGAAAAATTATCTAACCACAGAGTGCCTTATTTATTCGCCAAAAAGTGTTGCTATAGTTCAATATTGGCAGGCAAATATCAAATGGATAATGATCCAATTTCGCGGTCTCGAACAAGCTGCCATGCAAAAGCTCCAATTCTTTTTCAAACATCTGTATTGTTTTCCATCTGTATGACAAAATTCTATATTTAAATCATTCATCGGATAAATGAAGTGGAATCTAACTCTATAAACTGACATATAAAAAGCTTTTAATGGGGTCAGAAATTGAAGGGGATTAAATGTGATTTGGGAGCGATTTTTGTTTAGCTAACGAGGGGCTTACGACATCATAAGCCTCTGAGTAATTAGAATGATTTTTCCCTCGGTCAGCATAAAATATGCCAAAAAATAGCATAACTACAGATTGTTATTGTTTGACTCTTCAAAAAAAAAATATTTAAAATGGGCCAAAATTAAGATCTAATGCACTGCAATTTCTAATGCCCTACTGAAACGAGTGCATGGGCATTGCAACACGTTGAAAATTAAGGCATTTAATAACCTTGTCCCACTTTTGTTTCATATGCACTTAGTTTTCAATTTATTGACCAATGTATCGTGTGCAAACTAGTTGCTTTCATCAGTTTTTTAACAAACGAGCAAAAACTAGAAGCTATAAGATAGGGTAACATGGGGCAGCGAGCCCACTTCGGGTCACGGGCCCATAGCGGGTTTCTCGCTAAGTATGGCAGATATTGGCCCCTGTTCTCTACCGCTGGTCGACAGTTTCACTGGGATGAAGTGTACGGATTTACGTTTTGCTATGTGTTTGCGTTATTAAGTTATTTGCGAATAACTGTTTTAGTCCAGATAAAAATTTTTTTGCCGCTAAATAAAGTTTTTTTCCATTACTATAGATGAAGATTTTGAAATTACTTTGAATTATTTTTTCAAAGTAATATTTATAGGGATAATTTTGAGACCAAGTTTAGACTATTAGCTTTTAAAATAAAATGTTGACACGATATAAATTGAAATGATACCTAGTGGGGGCAACGGGCCCACGCGTGTCACGGGGCAAAGCGCCCATGGTGAAGTCTTGTGTTATACATCATTAGATTTGTCTCAATGACCTTTTCAAACTATGACTAGCTTTTTGAATTACAAATTACACTTCATATTGCATGATTTTTT